AGAGAGAGAGGTAGGTTCAAATGTTTCTCACATCTATTGTGTGCTAGAATGCACCAATAAGAATTTAGTAAACATTAGATGTATATTAAATGATATCCATATTTATAATTCATTTTATGGAAACTAATTAAATTCGTCATTAATGTTAACAATAATATTCTTTCAGAATGAATTCGTATCTAGAAGAATGAGAGTATATTCTAGCAGAACGAGAGTATATTCTACTAGAATACACTCTCATTCTTCATATTCCATGCAACTTTATTGTATTTTAAGTGAGTGAGTCCTGAAAAAAAAAACAAACCCATACATAAAAATCTAGATACGAATTCATTCCGAAAGAATTGCTGACATTAATGACGAATTTAATTAGTTTCCATAAAAAGAAAATTATAATTATGGATATCATTTAATATACATACAATTATAGAAATTATTTAATATCTATATTTATTTAATTAAATAATTATTTAATTTTACTAAATTTCTATTGGTGCATTCTAGCATACAATAAATGTAAGAAACACATTAATAATTATTTAATATATATATATATATATATATATATATATATATAGGGCTAGGTTCATGTGTTTCTTACATTTTTGTGTGGTAGAATGCACCAATAGAAATTTAGTAAAAATTAAATAATTATTTAATTAAATAAAGATAGATATTAAATTACTTCCATAATTGTATGTATATTAAATAATATCCATAATTATAATTTTTTTTATGGAAGCTAATTAAATTCATCATTGATGTCGACAATAGCATTCTTTCAAAATGAATTCACATCTAGGTTTCATGTATGAGTTCGTGTTTTGTTTATGGACCCAGTCACTTAAAATATAACAAAGTTGCATAAATATGAAGAACGATATTGTATTCTACTAGAATACACTTTCATTCTGTTAGAATATACTTTCATTATTCTAGAATAAGCTCTCATTCTACTAGAATACATTATCGTTCTCCATGTTGTAGACAACTTTGTTGTTATTTAAAGTGAGTGGATCACGAAACAAAATACGAACCCATAAATGAAAAACTAGATGCGAATTCATTCTGAAAGAATATTATTATTGATATTAATGACGAATTTAATTAGTTTCCATAAAAAAAGAATTATAACTATGGATATAATTTAATATACATATAATCATGAAAATCATTTAATTAAATAATTATTTATTTAATTAAATAATTATTTAATTTTTACTAAATTCTTTATTGGTAAGATGATTGATTACATAGGTATACTCTTGATTTTCTGATTTGGTTTTGTCCTTTGTAGTTATCCTTTTTGATTTTCGATTTTGCAGGTTTCATTCTACATATAGACTCGATTAAAGGTATGAAATCACCCTTCTTCCCACATTTTCTTTATTTTTATAGTGTTTGAATTCATGGATTTTCATTCGGTCATGAATTGACTTGATGTTATAGTGATCCTCTAATTTGTTTGTTTGTGGATGTGTACCTTTCAATCCTCGATCTATTGTTTTCCTATTCTTTTGGATTAGAAAAACCTTGATTTTTGAATTCTCTCTTTCTGATATAGGTTTTTCAAAATTACTTACAGTTTCTGAAAAATCCGTGTGTTTGTGTGTATCTGTTTGTACAGGTATTGGATGTGAAAAATATCAGGGATTTACAGGTTTCCATAAATAGTTTAATCATTTAAAACAATTTCATGATTATATGATTTTACAAAGGCGAAAGCATTAAAAACTAAGTCCATACCCTGTTACCTTTTTACCATCCTAACTGTTGGATTAGATTTTACATTTACATATGATGTATGATATTGAATTTGTGCAGGTTATGTGAAAAAGCACAGGCTATAGTACATGGTGATATGCATATGGGTACGGTTATGGTTACCCATGAGCTAACTCAAGTCATTGACCCAAATTTTTTTGTTTATGAGTCAATGGGGTTTAATATTGGTGCTTTTATTGGAAATCGTTTTTGGCCTATTTTGCATAAGATAGACATAATGTTAATGACATAAAAGTATGTAATTTTCATTTGATTTGTAATCATGCTTTTATAATATTTTGGGTTTTATAGTGGTAAAATATTTTGAATGCAGACTACAAAACATGGATAATGGATACAATAGCAGACACTTGGAATTGTGGTGCTTTGATCTCTCATCATGACTGCGTTTGTGACTGTATGTGAGTGTTTGTGTGAAAAGGTGGGACTGCGTGATGTGTTGATCTGTGTGTCTGCAAGGGGTGGGTAAACCCATTACCATTTGATGTTTTGATTTTATCATTAGGTCTCCAACAATGAGGAATCACACAGTCAATTCTCTCTTTCTCTCTCAAAACATCCTAGATTAACCATTCTGTAATATCCATTTTTCATTTTATGATTTTGAAGTGCTAAAAATCTGTTAATGGCTTCTTTTTGTTCTTCTTCTTTATGGTTAGGTAGTTATAAATGTTGTTCCACTCTATATGTTCGATCAAATGCCTCAAAGAGTGTTTAACCAACGTTTTTTTTTTATTTTCAGTTAGCTCGAGAATGATTTGGAGACAAGTGAAGAACGAGTCCAAATAGGAGGTGTGTGGAGGTTGCCATTCAAGAAAAGCTCCAACAATTTGTAAAACAATGATTGAAATTAGGGGTTCTGTCACAGCAAAACTTAGTTCATGGTAGTTATTCTCCTTTTCAATTATCAATACAACCTCTAATTTTGATTTTGTCATCTCAAGCCACCTTTTGGTATTCTAATGTTCATTATTGTATTCCATTTCAAACAAAAGTGACTAATCTTCACAATCATATATATCAGATCTTTTATAATTTCTTATGAATCATTTGTTTTTTTATAGAGGGCTTGTGTTGTGAAGTCTATTTCGTAGAATCCATCTCTTATCCAATATAGCCTTACAGTGAAGAGTAATGTGAAATCATTTTTTTTTCCTTCAGTTTTTGGTTTTTTAAGCATTTGCATTTTGCTCTAAGATAATTCGATAGTCTGTTTATTTTCTTTGCTTTTGTTATGCACATATGACAATAATATATTACACTTAATGGGTTGAGATCTTTGTGGTTACTAATGTAGTTGTTTTTTTGTAGGTGACATGTCCTTTTCTGTGTTTGAATCGTGCAAAAGCCAAAGGTCCTTTGGTTGTCTTTCTATAATTTCTTGATTTACTGCAATGATGTTGATTAACCTTAAACATTCAGTCATCAGATTTCTCCCTCATCATGAGTAAGTTCTACTTTTATCTATACCTGGTGGATTTTAATAAGTAGTCAAAAATACATATAATATTTGGAAATTTGTTGGCTACAGGAGAGAAACTAGAGTAGTTCACTAAATCATATCAAGAAAGAGATTAATGTATGCATGTTTAATAAATTAAATAATGGTTTCATTTTTCCAGTTTTTCCAAGAAGGATGGAGACGTTGAACGTGATGGAAGCATCTGCAAAGTATTTTTAAACATTAAAGTTGTGGGCTTATGTGCTTTAAAAAATTCTCATCTGAACCGAATGAGCTACGTCTTCTTTTATTAGAGCAATTAACTAATTTAATTGTGGCCAATATTACTTGACTAAATGTTTTTTTTTTCTTTTGTAGCTATGTATACATATTTCTTTTGTTAATCAATTATGCATATAATCTATTTGTTATACGTTAACAGGATAACTTTGATTTCTTTTCCTATATATTTAGCATTTAGGACTTATCCGCCAACTTTTGTAATTAAGTTAAAATGATGTGTCTGATTTTTTATTATGATATTACAATAACCTAAGTAAAACAAAAATAATGTGTTAATAAAACGATATGGTAATTTGAAGTATTTCATTGAAATCAAAGGAGTTAAAAACGAGCTTACGATAACATGCTTTTATTTTGAACACCAAACCAAAACGTACTCATATTTTAAAATCAAAACAAAAAGGTACTTTTATTTTGAACTCGAAATAATGATATATTTATATTTTTAAAGCAGAATGAAAACAACTTCTATTTTCAAACCAAAACATAAATTTAATTAATTTCAACAGAAAAAAACCCACCGAAACGAACTAATCGACACCCTGGAATTATTCATCAAAAATATACTATGTGCTTTGATTGATGCAATCTTTCCATCAGTGGAAATTAATACTGATTCAGATTATTTTATTTTGCGCGCAATATTATCCACAAGAAATGATAGTGTCGATGATATTAATGATTATTTGATCAGCCGATACCACGGAGACGAAAGAATTTACTATAGTTTTGATGAAGCCGTAGTCGATATAAATAGCTTCCATCCTGCGAAAATTTTGAACACGCTCAGTGTGTCATTGGTTTACTCCTCATTACCTACAACTGAAACTTGGATGCACGATAATACTGTTAAGGAATCTCGACCCATCAAACGGATTGTGCAACGTTACTCGATTGAAATGTAAAAGTAGCTTCTAGCACACTGTTATTGATGTCGAAATAGATGTTGGTCAACATGCTGAAAAGATGGTATTTTTGCCAAGGATTCATCTATCTCCGTTTGAAGATGACATGTTCCCGTTCAAGCTGAAGATAAAAAAAATTCTCATTTGATTACGTTTCGCGATAACAATAAGGGACAAACATTTCTAAATATAGTAATTTATCTTCCAAAATCAGTTTTCTCTCATGACCAACTTTATATGACATTATCCAGAGGAATATCACGTGCTAATACAAAAGTATTAATGATATCTGACAAACAATTCAACGGTAGTCAAGTATATACATCAAATATGGTGTATAAAGAAATGTTGCATGATTTATAATGTACAATAAATCATGTGTTCATGTACATTTTTGTATTAATTCTTAATGATTTCATTTATACTAGGATGATTCTTATTGATGATTGTTTAGATGTTGTAAACTATTTGCAAAATAACTAATCTCCTCTAAAAACTAATTTCTAAAAAAACTATTAACACCCGTCGCTTGGCGCGGGTAAACGGCTAGT